ATTTCAAGGGAATAATCAGCAATTATGATTTTTGTCATAATCGTGGAGCCCTAGTTCACACAACCCATATTCATTCACACGAGAGATGTATAGAAAGCCATGCGAATTATTATTATTATTATTATATTATTATTATTATTATTATATTAATATAATTACATTATTTGCTATGTCCCATGCACTGCTCATTAAATTTGAATGAGAGTAGAATATAGTCAAATCATAAAATGTAAAAATTTTGTTCTCCTATTAATAGAAAGAGATTACTTATTTTGAGTGCATTGATCATTTGGTAATAAAAACAATATTTTTATTTAATAAAAAAAAGTTTGAGAGTTTGGTTGTCCACCCTGTCATCTTAATATTTTACAATAATATTTTAAATAATAATTCAATCATATCTATATAATCCAGTGTGTTCAATAGCTTGGTGTGGGGGCAATAACAAAAAACTGCATCCAAATATCACAGTGTTCTCCAGGTCAGAAAAAAGGTTAGAGTTTCTTTAAAAACACATGGTTTACATAAAATCTTTTATGTATTTATAATTTGAACGCAAACAAATAACCCTGTTTAGGATCGGGACATAATACCTTTCAGATATACAGTATTTAACAGTAATATATATGTCCATGACAGGGTGGACATATCTTATGGTTTATGCTTCGAATAATGGCCCATAAATATAAAAAATGCATGGGAGCTCAGCTAATGTGTTTCTAGAGTACTTGAATGTCATGAGATAAAGCGAATGCGGAACTAAGACCTAAATGTGTGAGTATCGTGAGGGTTGAAAGGCACTCTCTGGTGATATTGATCCATATGTTAATGTAGACGTTATGCATGTGGTTTATAGACGGGTGTTATTTCATAGCATTGAATAAACGATTGAATAAACTGCATTGTTTTGCTCATTGCGCCCTCCTGTGGCCTCGGGAGACGAGCCAAAGCTTTCTTTAAGACTTATTTAATCTGCATATAAAACAAAGGAGATATTTCTTTACATTTCGCGTTTGACTGTTAAAGCGAAAAATGATTTGATGTTCGTCTTAATAA